TGCCATTGTAATATATGCCCCCCCACTTCCAGGTGCCATTGTAATATACCCCCCCACACACACTTCCAGGTGCCATATATATCTATCACAGGAGGCTGGGATCTCCTCCCTGCACCGCTCGATCAAACTCCTGTGACAGCGTGTCAGAGAGGAGAGCAGTACAAACACTCTGTGCTGTGGTCCCTTCCTCTGACCCTCACGTCAGCACAGGACCCAGCTGTGATGGATGGAGATACCATACCAAAGCACGTCCAGGAAGGTGGGGGGCTGTGAGGCTCTGACACTTCCGGAAGTGTCAAACGCTGGGTCTCTATGGATGGAAATATGCCGGTGTTTACGTCATACGGGTGCCTGTGTGCAAGAGCCCTAATGAAAGTGTTACCCTGATATTATATCCATCTCTTCCACCCCTGAATTGGGTATGATCACCCCAGTGTCCTCCTCACTCCCCGACCCAGCCGTGTACAGAGAGCTCTCACCAACCTACACATTATATCACAAATCGTGTATCAGGTTTACATCACACCGCACGACCGGCCAGGGGCAAAGTACGAGGCACCGCCGGCTGCCATCACACCAATAACCCCGGCCGGAGCCTCGCGGGAATTTAAAAAAAAAATAACAAAAACAGATAAACAGCAAACATTTAGCCGTACTCACCCACTTCCGATCGCCGGAATCAGCTACGGTTTTTTTGCGGCAGCCGTAAAGGAACCGAGGGCCGGGCCAAAAGTGGCCACGTGACCGCCGAGTGTCTCATCGCACAGGCCCGTGTGACGCAGCGATGGGAGGGCACGTGACCATGGGAAACCCTCAGCTCTCCCAGGCACGGGGTCTGCGTCCAGGGTGGCCACGTGACTCTGGGAACCCTCCGCTTCTTTCTCAAGGGGGGGGGGAGTATGGCACAAGGACGGGGGTCACTTCCGGGAAAACATCAAAATAAAATCACATCACCTAGCTTGGTTCTTGAAAGCTAATGTGGGAATAAAAGCATCCCCAAACCTGATGTAGAGTTCTGTGAGCTGGGACTTTAATAAAAAGTGCTTTACTTCTTGCACATATCATGGAGTGCTGGTGACTTCTATTATGGACTAGGTCACATGTTAACGTGCAATCAATGAGCTGCTGATATGTGACAACACTGGTCCCTTGCAGGACAGTGCTTTGCATGTGCACAGCCAATGTGCGTCGGGGTGCCATTCAAAATGAACGCCAATGTATGCTGGGCCATGATATGGGATGGGCCCTCCATCTGTTGTGGAACTATAAGTCCCATGAGCCTTTGCAAGATTCTCACAGCCACAGGCTTGCCTCCCAGAAGCAGATGCATCATGGGATTTGTAGTTTCACCACAGCTGGAGGGCCGGAGTTTGCCCCACCCCTGTTATAGATATAAATAAGCCCGTCAATTTTTGCATGTCTTGGCCTAGCTGGGGGATATGGGGGAGCTGTGACCCTGGGATCCCTGCACGTTGTCAGTGGTGTCATCTGCCATGGCGGGTAGAAATACCAACACCATTTATATATATATAATCAGATTTTATATAAAGTGCAGCTGGAGCCAAAACGTTTTTCTTGGTTTTGGATGGAGTGGAGAGGTATTCAAACCCCTCTCAGGTTTTTTTTATTGCTATTTGTGTCCTCATTAAGGAGATTCACCATCACTAGTTGTTTTGGTGACTGTTATAACTCAAAATAAAAGAAAATCCCAAATTTTGGGTTGTCACCAGAACAGGAACAGATGAGAACTCATCCAATGGGGACACTAGTTCTGCTGACCACAAGGGATATCCCTTACTTTGGAGGGATTGTCTCTCGCTTCGTATTGTGGCTCAGCCAGGAAGGGAAGGGAAATCATCCTAATGGGACACAGATGGCAAAAAAAAAAACCCTAACAGGGGTCATAGCTCTCCCTTCTTCTATACAAAACAAAAATAAAAGTTTTGGCTTCAGTTCTACTTTAAGCTTATATTTGGTATCGGCCTCTTGTAGTTCCTGTACAACAGAGCTGGAGTGTGAGAGGAAGAAGCAGTACAAGGAGCCAATCAGTTCATGTGCTGTGACAAGAAGCACACTGATAGGAGAAGAGAGCAGAATCACCAGCGATTATTTTCAAACCTTAACTTGAATGAATGCTCGACTTGTCTATGGCAGGGGTGGGCAACCTTGGCACTCCAACTGTTGTGGAACTACAAGTGCCCTGAGGCATTGCAGGACTTTGACAGCCATAGGCATGACTCCCAGAGGCATCATGGGATTTGTTGCTTCATAGCAGCTAAGGTTGCCTACCCCTGGACTAGTGGAACATTATAAAGCAGTTTTAATGACCTTATCCTTCCGTTTTCTGGCAGCCAGCACACTCCTCTTTTGCACAGGGCTCTGGGCTGTGGACGGGCCCCTGGCATACTCACTTAAAGCGTAGGACTGCTCGTCCTGCATTGTACGTGATATCAGAGTGCTGAAGGAGTAGGAAAGAGAAGCGGCCTTAGGGGGCCCATTCCCGCTGAGAGGAGGAGCCTTTGGGAGCGAGGGATAAGCTACGTAAAACTGCTTGGTGATGTTCCCCTAGACCAGGGGTGAGCAATTCATCCCAAGGGACCACGTGAGAAACTGGGACTGTTGTGGAGGGCTGAACCAATAGGCTGAACTTAACGCATGGAACCATGCAATTATCACATGGGATAGGTGTGAATGGGCCCTGAATGAAGTCTTATTGGCCCAGCATAGTATGGGGCACATACAGTATCTTATATTCTTTTTTCTTGATAGGCCAGAGGGGGGAGGCGGGAGGTGGTGCTGCAGGAGAGGACGGAAGAAGATACTCTGCCTTCCTCCTGTAATGCTGGGAATGGGAACACATTTGTTGTCACTGGTTCCTAGGAGTGCCTGGCGCTCCTAGCAACCAATGACTGCAGAGGAGTAGGACCCCTAATGTCATTGTTTGCTAGGATGCTAGTGGTCCCAGCAACCAATGACTGTAGAGGAGTAGGACCCCTAATGTCATTGGTTGCTAGGATACTTGTGGTCCTAGCAACCTATGACTGCAGAGGAGTAGGACCCCTAATGTCATTGGTTGCTAGGATGCTTGTGGTCCTAGCAACCAATGACTGCTGGGAGTAGGAACCCTATTTTCATTGGTTGCTAGGATGCCAGTGGTCCTAGCAACCAACGACTGAAGAGGACAGCAGTGTGGACAAGGACCGATGTCCGGAAAAAAACCAAAACAGAGATGGGAAAGGTTTACTCTGCTCGATTGAGCAGAGTAAACCTTTCCGGGAGAAAGTGTTTCTCTCCCGGGTGGCCGGGAGCCGCTATCTAATAGCGGGAGACTCCCGGAGCGTCCGGGAGAGTTGGGATGTCTGCTAATGTCATTGGTTGCTAGAGTGCTAGTGGTCCTAGCAACCAATGACTGCTGGGAGTAGGACCCCTAATGCCATTGGTTGCTAGGATGCCAGTGGTCCTAGCAACCAACGACTGAAGAGGACAGCAGTGTGGACAAGGACCAATCACCAACCTACGCTGGGCTATAGCTTGCAGTGGATACACCGGCCTTGGAGGCTTGCACATCCAGTGTCAGCCACTCATAATCGAGCGCAGGTCAGCGATCGGTCTGTGTGCAGACCGCAGGCCGGACAGGGACAGACAAAGGTCTGGATACCATAAAATGCCCAGGTCTGTCCTAGGCAAAAAAAAAAAGAGCATTTAACCCTTGCAGTGTAATTTTGGATTTCCCCCGGAAAGTCACATTTAATGAATGCAGCAGATTTGAAAATAATGAAATGACGTTAAAGAAGAACTCAGGGCATTAAAAAAAATTAACCCTTGCAGTGAGGCTACCCCAGCGCTGCAAGGGTTAAGTGCACATTGTGTTCTAGGGTCTAAAATAAAGTACAGTGTAGATATACTCACCTGATCTTTGGTCTTGTTGGGCTGCTAGACTAGTCCCTGCAGCCTCTTCTCCCCCCCTCCGGGCTCCAGCAGTCTAACCCTTGTAGTGGGTAACCCCACTGCAAGGGTTCATTTTTGAGATGCCCGGAGTTCTTCTGTAACATTGTGAAGCTCATCTGAGATTTTAGTGACTGGGTTTAGGTCTGCTTTAAATGTCTGGAAATAGAAATGGCGCGACGAGTTCCACACTCCACCTACGCCGTGTCATATAAAGTCTACGTGATGTATGGGCGGCACAACCGGAATATCAACCTTACAATAATAGAATACTATACCAGGAAAAAGTCTCCTCCTTCATTATCTAGTCCGTCCATTATTTCTTTTAATGTCGTATTAAACCCTCAAACTTTTTTTTCTAATAATGAATCCGGATCAAACAAATACACATCACCAAGCAAAAGATTTCTTTACATTTTGCCCAAACACTTACAGTCATCATGTTTCCGAACAGCTCCGACTCTCTCAGCTCGGCTTACCTGAACTTCCTGTCCAGAACAAGATCACAAAGGACAGAGCACCCCTGCAACTGTTCATCTACTAGCTTGGGGAAGGAAGGCGTAGCGAAGAGGAGAGAACAGAGAAGTGCCTCGCCTTGCTGTGTGTGTTTGTAGAGACACACACAGCTTACTATCACACACAAGGGTGGCTGCATAGGACGCTGCAAGAGAAAGGAGTCACCCTAAAACAGGATATCAGAACCAGTGCTCGGGGGACCAGCTGATTCTACAGGAAGATAAAACTTTTACACATCAAGGAGCAGCATCCATTTTAAGGGATTTCATCAGCATTTGAAATAGCTTAAAAACCTTCTGACTTTATTATCACTTTAAATTAAGATGGAAGATGCTTTTTTTGAGTAAATTTACATTTAAGGGCTATTTCACACCAGCCGCAGTGCGCTCCAGTCCAGTTGTGGCCGTAACGTACTGGATCGCGTTGCGGCCGGCTCACTTTGTTGTGGGGCGGGAGGGGGCGTGGCGGTGCATTGAAGTGAATGGCACCGCAGCCACGCCCTCCAGCCGCAATGCGATTGGCTGGGGGGGGGCGGCCACAGCGTCCCAGGTTGCTAAGAACTCTCTGTCTGGCTTCCCGCCCAGCTTACTGACATCACTGGTTGCCAGGAGCTGAGCGAGACGCTCTGGCTGGCATCCCGCCCAGCTTAGTGACATCACTGGCATCCCACCCAGCTTACTGACATCACTGGTTGCCATTCACTGCCAGCACTAACCCAAGAACCCTACCGCCTCTGGCGTAGGGTTGCCACCTGTCCTGATTTCACTTGGATAGTCTGGGTCTTGAGTCCTGCATGTTGTATTTCCAGGTTTCAGGCCAGCTGAAACCCAGACACAGCACATACAGGACTCAAAACCTGGACTGTCGAGGTGAATCCGGGACAGGTGGCAATCCTACTCTGCCTGTAGTCAGTTGTTCTGATCAATTTAGTGATTTTGCTGATGGTCAGCTGGTTAAATTTGCTTAAATATTGTCAGCATGTATGGCCTACGCTTCGCATAGCTTGTCAGTGTTCAGTACTGACCACCACTAGGGTTGCCACCTGTCCAGGATTCACCCGGACAGTCCGGGTTTTGAATGCTGTGTCCGGGTTCCATGGCAGCAGAATCCCGGACACAAGATGTCAGGCAGACAGGGGCAACCAAAATTAAGATGCTACGGGCCCCCCACTGAAAATAGTCTCAACTGTGATATTTACATATGAACGAGTGGCACTTTTTACATATGAATAACCCACGACTCATTCGCCCCAAAAAATGTCTGTGCGCCGCTAGAGTGTTCGGGTTTCGCTTGAAGAAAAGGTGGCAACCCTAACCAGCACACGCACACACATGCTCCCCTTCTAATATGAACCAGGCCATGTCTAATGATCTGCAGCAGGCCGGCCAAGTCTAGGGAGCCAGTAACTGATAGCTCTCTGTGTCAGGCAGGAGAGCCAGATTGAAGGTCACTGAAGACAATACATGATATGGCTGCCAATTTTCCTGAGCCGCGGTGGGGAACGAGCAGATGTGAGAGAGCGGACGTAAAGCAGAATTCCACCCAAAATGTGTTCTTGTTTTGGATAGAGTGCGGAAGGGATAGACCTTGTTATGGCTGTCAGGTTTCCTCTTGGTGAGTTTGGCGTTCACTTCCTACTCTGGTGACCGGTGCAACAGGAAGTGAGAAGAAAAAAAACAAATATAGTGTGTGGAGGGGTCAGAACCCTCGGCCTGGTATTGTTTGCTGTCCCTGACCTGTCACCTATTGTCCCAGTTCCTGGTGTCACCTGCAACAGGAAGTGAGGTAAGGTGAGACAGGCCAGTCCTCTTCCTGGCTTTGGTTTTTGCAGGTCGGCGGTGAGGTTTCAGTTCTCAGCCTTATTTCCTCCTTCCTCACTCAGTGGGTATGGTGGGCAGGGCTCACCTGGCCGCTGATGCAGCCAGTCATAGTCTTCCCTATGCTCTCTCCTAACTTCCTGTCACACCTTTGGCAGGGGAGGAGAAGTAACAGAGCAGCCAAGAAGGTGCTTGAGCTGTGCAGCTCCCACCTCTAAGGCGCTGCCAGCCAGGCTACACTAGCTGAGCTGCTGCAACTGAGCCTAGTGTCACCTGGTGACACCAGGAAGTGCAGGTTTATTGAAAACAACAATAAACATCAATGGCAAAAAACAATGGAGAAAGTCCAGGACGTCATCGGTAAGTCCGAGGTCAGATGCCAAAGTGGGTAGTCAGCCGAACCAGGTCAGGGAACACTGACAGCAGGATGAACAGAAACAATAGCTGGAGTCAGGAACCAGGAGATCAATCAGCCAGAGTCAGGGTCGTACACGGAGAACAGGAACAACAGCAGAGCACTTGGTAAATCAGAACGCTCGCAGGGGCGGAGACTGAATGGACAAGCTGATGGTTAAATAGTGAACTGGTGTTGCATCATCACTCTAAGACAGGAATTTGTCAGAAGTTTGCTAGTAGTTGTAGAATGATGATGTTTACGTGTTTGGTCATTAGAGGGCGCCAAAGAGGTATGAACAGTGCCAGACATACTGCAGGGAAGGCAGGATGCAGCTAAACAGGACAAGGAAGGGTAAGAAACCCTGACAGTCCCTGATTAGAGCAATGCTCAGTGGGACCGCTCAAATCAGGGACGCAAAAAAGGAACGATATGGGGGTCCAAACCGCCTCCCCAAAACATCCGCCCACAGCTCAGGCACAGCAGCTCAGCTAGTGTAGCCTGGCCGGCAGCCCCTTTAAGGAATATTAAAAGCAGTGGTCCAACATTCATATGTGCTGGCAACACTTGTTGAAGCACTAAGCTGATAAAACAGAGCCATATGTACTACCATACATGCAGCCTGACAGCATTTCAGTGATAAAATAAGAACATTCAATTGGACTTTAAATACTGTATAACAGGGGACATTCTAGCAGAGGGTTGTTGGGTGTCAGAGGCTGAGTGCCGACAGGCAAATGTCTTCACAATCCTTTCCGCATACACTGGAAGTAATCATGTGACTAAAGTGGATTCTCCCACTTGGCATGCATAAAGGATAAAGTGAATTACATTTACATGTAAGTTTCCACCAAGCCAAATGTTTTTATGTAATGAATTGCCTTGCATGGCATTCTAAAATGCAGTTTTCCAGTGACCATATCCATGTGCAGACACGCTCATCGTATGACCAGATCTTTACTATGTGCATTCAGTATCTGATTTGTGTGTGCTCCTGAAAAAAATAAATAATGACTGTGCAAAAGGGTAATACCCTGTTTCCCTGAAAATAAGACCTACCCCGAAAATAAGACCTAGTGTGTTTTTGTGAGCCAAAAAAAATATAAGACAGTGTCTTATTTTCGGGGAAACACGGTAGTCTTTATTTGCTGTAATACTCTATCTTACCACCAGAGGGGGTATTTATTGCGAACTGCTTGAGCTTTTAAAACAGTTCAGTCTGCACTGTACCTACTCTGTGACATTCATGAGGACTGCCTTCTCTTTATTATTAAATAAGTCAGCAAAATTGCTTCCTTCACTGAATATTTTGCACTATACAGTTTGTGTGGTATCCTTACATTTAGGGATGCACCGATACCAGTATTTTGGTACCGAGTACGAATGCTCCCAGCTTCCTGGCTCCTTCTCCAAGCTTTTAGATGGATACTTCAGACATCCCAACTCTCCCGGACGTTCCGGGAATCTCCTGCTATTAGATAGTGGCTTCCGGCCGCCCGGGAGAGAAACAATTTCTCCCAAGAAAGGTTTACTCTGCTCGATCTAGCAGAGCAAACCTTTCCCTCCTCCTTTTTTTTTTTTTCTTTACTCTGATATCGGAGCCACCGGCCGACGTCAGAGTGAGGGGAAAAAAAACCAAAAAACAGCATATATATGCATAGCTAGATTGCTATTGGGTGTTTGAATTTGCAATAGCCAATAGCAGACTAGCTATTGCACCCGCCCACTGCTGCTGTCAATCAGCAGAGGTGGACCAATGCTCTGCATGTTCGGCTGAGCCGACGTGCAGGAGTTCGACTCAGCCAATCCAACATCTGGATCTGCTGAGCCGAAACTCCGGCAGCTCACTCGCTGCCGTTCGCCCCTATTCACATAGGGGCCGAACGACAGTAAGTGAGTAGCCGAATGCCGCCGAGCGGCAGAGGGCTTGGCTATTCTGCTCGGAACCCCGAGGTAGCGAGTAGAATATAAAATAAGTTATTGAATGAAAAAAATGAAAAGTTGAAAAATTATTTTAGAAATGTAAAAAAAAAGGAAAAATAAATAAAAATGAAAATATTTTAAAGAAAAATAATTTAAAAAACGACGCACGCCGACCCGACTGCACGTGACGAACTCCCGCCGTATAATTATATAATAAAAACAAGTGGGCGGAGATAGCGGTGACATCACTGCTAGCTTCGCCCTACTGTTTCCTATTGGCCGGCACCTGCCAGAGTCTTCTAGCAGGTCCCAGCCAATAAATAACAACTGGGCGGAGCCGTCCATGATGTCCGCCCAGTTGTTATTGTTTAAAGGAGAACTATGGGGTTAAGGCTCTTCCACATAGTTCTCCTAAGGGTAACGGGAGGACACAAACTAGCGTCCTCCCGTCACCCAAAGTTCTGTATACCGCGAACTACAGCTCGCGGTATACTGAGCCGCCACAGCCGGGACGGATCCCGACAATGCTGTCGAGATCCACCCAGCTGCGTGAGTGACAGCTGGCTCTGCCTATCTAGAGGCAGAGCCAGCTGTACCCGCCCCCTCCCCGTCCGTTCCGCCAGTCGTGTGAATGTGTGAGTGACAGTCACGGCTCTCTGCAGGGAGATGTTCGAGAAGTGAGCGAGTGACGGTATGTGTTCGCTCACTTCCTGATCTATTGAGCCGACGTGTGACAGTTTCATTGTCACAGGTCGGCTCGAACTATGAGGCTGAGTGATTTTCACTCGCCTCATAGTTCTCCTTTAATGACAGTTCAGCGTCCCCAGGTCATTTGGGGACGCTGATCTGTCATTATAACTGGGCAGAGCCAGCCGTCAGATCATGGCTGGCTCCGCCCAGCTGTCGTTTGCGTGGAGATCGGTCAGCTTCGGCCGACCTTTCTCCACATTTCACTTGTCACTATAGCTCAGCCGAGCCGAAGCATATGGGTTCGGCTCGGCTGCTTTTGGGTGCTGTACGGGCTATAGTGAATAGCCCGTATAGCAGCCCATCGGTTCGACTGAACCGAAGGGCTCCGGTGGCCGAAGTGAGGCAAAGCTTCTGCTGGATCCTTTCGATAAGCTTATGCAATGTAATCACATTTATTTCCATCCAGAGTTGCATTCATTTTTCACCAAGATCTTGTAGTGATGATGGGAGAGTCGGACCTCTGCGTAATGTCTTCTCCAGCACATCCCAAAGATTCTCAATGGGGTTAAGGTCTGGACTCTGTGGTGGCCAATCCATATGTGACAATGATGTCTCATGCTCCCTGAACCACTCTCCACAATCTGAGCCCGATGAATCCTGGCATTGTCATCTTGGAATATGTCCAATGTGCCATCAGGGAAGAAAAAATCCATTGATGGAAAAACCTGGCCATTCAGTATATTCAGGTAGTCCGCTGACCTCATTTTTCAGGCACATAACGTCGATGAACCTAGACATGGCCAACTGAAGCAACCCCAGATCATCACACTTATACAGTGGAAGGCCTATTTGCTTAGCTAAATCCAGGTGGGGACTTTTTTCTTTTTTTTGGCCAGGCAGTGCATATTGAATTTGAAAGGCTAGTCAGCACAAAAGTTGACAATAAGGAGTTCATTTCTAAAAGTTATATGCCAGACGGATGCGTTTGGCATGGCACTAGCACTCCTAGATAGCGCTGAGGAGTATAGGAATTTCCTGTACTTGTCAGGGCCTTTTAGGGTGCTAGTGCCATGTGGGCGGAATGTTTATGAAGACGCTAATAAAAGTCCATGCACACAGCCACCATGAAATAAGCAAAAAGCAGAAGGGATTGCAGCACAAATAGCTTATCTTTATTGCCCATCAGTAATGCAGAACCCAACAATGTTTCAGACATCCCTGCCCTTTGTCAAGCTTGACAAAGGGCAGGGATATATAGAGATACAACTTGAACTATAAAACTGTACATCGGTTTCACGTCTCACCCCTCCTGCCCTTGTAAACAGATGGCTGAAGGTTCTTGGCCAATTAAGTTCCAGGACTTGGCATAGTTCTTCCCCTTTAGGAAGAAAAGAACGTTCATTACATTTTCATAGTCTAAAGGTTATTGAGCTCTTGGTGTTTGTCCGGTTTGTCAGTGGTAAGAGGCGAGTCCCTCATGTCCTGGTATTTCCGGGAATTTATTTACTTCTCTCCATTTTTGGCAGTTGTTTGTCTCCAAACTGAACCAGCTTTAATGCCTGTGGCATGCAACCATTCCTTGTGTTTCATATTCCGAACTTTGCCTAATTTAAAGGTGCACACCATTAAAATGTGAAAATGTTGCCGTTAATCTGACACAGAGGACATATCTACTGTACCTGTTGAGGACATGTCTGCGTGCCTACCTGCTGAGTGCGATTCTGCTTGACATCCTTCCTACCTGGCTGCCCCACTAGATAAATCCCTGTATCCCTATTTTCAGGATGAGACCGGAAGATAAGCCCCTTGTATTGCCCTTTCTCCGAGCACACTGTATCCTCGATCACAAACACCAAAAGAGGAGTTGAAGGGTGCTGAATAATGCACAATATTCCGAAGAAGCACTGAGAAAAGCCTAATGATCTTTATAAAACTCAGATTAAAGATAAACTGACTGTACCTGTAAAGTGGACCGGTACTGAAATGTTAGACAAAGTTTTTGAGCTGAACTCCGTGCACAAAGACTCTCATTTTAATAAATTCCTCAATAGCACAAAGAGTATAAATCCACTTTGTGTGCACCAAATGATTTTGCAGACCCAGTTATTACCTTGCAAAGTTAGCAGTAGCATTATCACTGGGCTGTACATAGCCTGTGCAGAGCTGTGGGAGGGACCCAGGAGGCCCCACCCGCTGCAGGCTGCCTGCAGAAAACTGCAGGAGGGGGCAGAGACAAGACCAGTCACCCTGCACAAGGTGAGAGAGCAGCAGTGAGCAGTCTTTATAACAGGAAGCTCCGAGTCTCACACTGGGATTACTGCACAGATCTGGAAGAAATACATAAAGCTCACCAAGGAAGAATACTCATGACACTTGTATTTAAAGGAGAACTATGAGGTGAGTGCTTTAGTTTTCACTCAGCCTCATAATCTGGGACGACCTGTGACAATGAAACTGTCACAGGTCGGCTCAGTAGATCGGGAGGTGAGCGAACACATACAGGCGCTGGCTCACTTCTCGATCCTGTCACATATACCTTCGGAGAACTATGGGGAAAAGCCCTAACCCCATAGTTCTCCTTTAAACAATATTTGCTCATCCCAAAGTTCAGCTTTAAAGACTTGCTGGGGTGGATTGATTTGGTCATGTTATCGCTGCTAAAAGAGATGATTATCCAATCTAATCACTAATCTTAAAATGATAAGAGGTGAGAGATCTGTCAATTCCAAGATTGTCACACATGACTTGACTCATCTCTTTAATACACCAATAGATGAATATGGTTAATGAGCAGTGAAAAATGCAATACGCTCAATTCACTGAGCTATAATGATCGTTATTTGCAATAAGGACCATTCATTTTAGCAACAGCAGCTAATGAGAGCAGGAGATAAGTCACATGGTTGAAAATAATGATCCTCACAACTGTTAGGGTTCCTCAGGAAAGTTATACTGCAGGGCCTCTAACCCGCAGTAATGGGCCTCTAACCCATGGGAAAGTTATACTTGCAGGGCCTCTAACCCCCAGTAATGGGCCTCTAACCCATGGGAAAGTTTTACTTGCAGGGCCTCTAATTCCCAGTAGAGGGCCTCGAACCCACTTAACTCGATTTATGTTTCCTGGGATTCGATCATGCTGCCAGCTTCAGACAAGTACTTGGGAATACAGAAGCACACAAAACAGTGTATTAACTCTATAGTCAAAGGTTTATTGTTAAAACAAAAGATTATGTGGAGAGCGAAAGGGGCGATGGGGGCAGGGCTGTAGCTACCATGGGGCGAGTTAGGCACCTGCCTCATAATAGAAGTCACCATGTGTTCTTGCACATGATATGTGCAAGAAGTAAAGCACTTTTTATTCAATCAAACACCCCCCCCACCCCCACACACACACACACACACACACATACAAAAACTCACAGAATCCAGCGTTACATCACTAGCAACTCCGGCTGGGCAGGAGTCCTGTTCTGCCATGGAGTAGTCAGGAAAGGAAAATTGCGGTAAGTATGAAATACAATTTTCCGGTTTTCCCTGACTGCTCCATGTCAGCACTCAAATGGGAAATAATTAGACCAAACACGGGCGGGTAATGCCGAAAGATGCTGCCTTTAATTTTGGAGAGAAGCGGATGAGGAAATGACACTGCGCCCAAACCCCACTGTAGTCAAAGCAGCAGGTTCAGCGCCGTAATGCTTCATGAACGTGTGGGCCGAAGACCACGTGGCCGCTTTGCATATAGTCTCTGGCGACACATGATTCGGGGCCGCCCAAGAAGCAGAGATGCCGTGTGTGGAATGTTTTGTGGCTACCTTGGGTTCATGGTGTATTCCCAAATTTTCCAAATTTGCAAATCTCGATCCTATCTTGTAGCCTAAATGTTTGCAGGCTTGCTGCCAGAAATAGGAAACAACTTTAATGCAGTGCAGAGCCTTAGGCCTCATTCACATGAGAAAAGGCCGGCACGTACAGCTCCGTGCTGTGTGCATGGCTATATCGGGCAGCTCCCAGGATCCCTCCTGTCAGCGTACGAGTACGGACAACCGCACGGACATGCAGGGCGGATGAGTGTTTGGGGCGGCGTACGGCCGCGTACTCCCATAGAGAAGGACAGGGGCTGCATACTAATCACACGCAGCACCTGTCCTTCCCGGGAGCTGCCCGATACGGCCCTGCACGCAGCACGGAGCTGTACGTGCCGGCCTTTTCTCGTGTGAATGAGGCCTTAGACCTAGTCAGCTGGGTCACAAGAGCCAAAAATCTGAAGGAAAGGATACCTTGCCC